AGCCAACACCGAAGCGTTTGCACTTGTCATTTCTGACAGATTCCTGCAGTTTGAATCCGATGGTCAGAAGATGAACGCCGTGTAATAAAAGTAAAAATGGATAAAATTCACCTACAATTCCTCTTTGCCAGTCGCCCCGCCGAAGTCTATGCGATTGTGGTGAAGGCTGGTAAACAACTCAAGGAGCACTATGACGGTATCAAAAAGTGGAAGCAAAAGTATGTGACAATGGTCTACCATAAATAAATGGATAACACATTGTTGCAGCAAATTGCTAATAACACCGACCCCAAGCATGGGTTTTCCTTCATCGTCTCTGGAAACGATAGCCGAATCCTTACCCGGTTCAACCCCCCACTGCAACTCAAGGAATCCAAGACCTACGAGATGGCATTGGTGAACCTGGAAACCTATAACTCCATCCCCAACATTCATACAGGTAACAATTCCTTCTACTACTCCACCGACAATGGTGCCAACTGGTTTCTCATCGCACTGAGCACAGGTTCCTATGACATCGAAGACATCAACGATGAGATCCAGCGGCAGCTACGGCTCAACAAACACAAAAAGAAGATCATCATTGATGCCACCCGGGCGACCCTAAGAGCAACGCTGACCCTCGCCAGACACTATCAAGTAGACTTCAACGTTGTCAATAGCATCAACACCGTCTTGGGATTCGAGCGGCAGATTTACACGTTCGATATGATCACAGACGGCTATACAGTAGGTGAACACATTGTAAATATCATCAGTATCAATAGCATTCTGGTGAATAGTGATATCATCCATAGAAGTTATGTGAATGGTACACAGCAGTCTGCCATCTACAGCTTCTTTCCCGCAGACGGTCCTGGTATGAAGATCATTCAAACCCCCAAGAATCTAGTATACTTGCCGGTGACTTTGAGAACCATCAATCGCATGCAAACGTATCTCACCGATCAAGTTGGTAGGCCCATCGATTTCAGGGGTGAAAATCTCACCATCCGCTTTCATCTTCGTGAGGTATAAATAATGACTTATCACGAACATGGTTTGAACTTAACAAAAGGTCAAGCTGATAAACTACAACGGGCTGCCAAGAAAGGTTGTCCGGTCTCCATTCGTTTGTCCAATGCAAACCTGTAAGGCGAACACAAGATGTGGCTCACCTCTCGGCAGGTTCAAAACATTACTAAGCTCCTTCAGAAAGGTACTGGTGGTATGAATCTGGAGCTGAGTGTCACCCAAATGAAGGAAAACATACAAAAAGTAGGTGGATTCCTACTCATGTTGGCAGGGCTGGCAATGAGGGCACTTCCCATGATAGCTAATACCTTTCTACCTGCCTTGGGTGTTGGAGCCTTGAGCGGTCTGGGTGGTGTAGCCGTCAACAAGGCCTTAGGGCCTGGATTGTACCTAACACGTGGTGGGTGTGTTTTTACCGTGAAACCTAGTGGCAACGGTCTCTACCTCAAATCCTCAAACGCCCGGATAACCTATGGTGATGGACTCTACTTGAAGCGTGGTCAGCAATTCCATGACGGAGCCGGTCTGATCTTAGGTGCTAACAGCCCTTCAAAAACATTCCCCTCCTCGGTATGCTCCTATAAATAAATGCATGATTTAGATTCTGGATACCGGCAGACCAGAGTCGAATGTATGGAAGACCAACTCAACGTGGATATTCATAAGTATCAACGTACCTTGAAGATCTACAAACGACTCGACAAAGTAGTGTCTATAGCACAGGGTGTGTGTTCCGTAGCCAGTTTGATTTTGACCAGCTGCACCATGGGTTCAGCTTTGACCGGTATAGGTATTATAGCCTCCCTTCCCCTAGGGTCCCTTGCTTGCTTGAGTGCCACTGGCGTGATGGTACTCACACTTATCTCAAGGCGTATCATGAAAAAGAAGAAAAAACACCGCGACACCTTGCAATTGGCAATGTCCACAAAATTCTTGGTTAAACAATGTATTAGTACTGCTTTGGCTGATGATGAACAAATTGATGAAGCTGAGTTTGGGAATATCACAACCTGCCTCAACTACTATGATGAGAAAGATCAGCTGCAACAACCTTCCACCACTTTTAGTGAGGAACTTAATGCGCATGCGCCGTAAAAACGTCACACACCATTCTGTTTTCGCTTCACTTCACACACCGTTTCAAGCATAAAAAAAACCTTTCCAATCCGACAGAAATGTCGAATTGGAAAAATTTTTGTACCCCACCCACCCAATTTTTTTTTTATTTATTCTATTTATTTAATTTTTTGACTTAATTTCTCACAAGGTTGCAAGAGAAGTACTACTGCTTGGTCTTTTTGCTGACTTCTAAGCCTGTACTTCTCACGAAGGCTCCTTCCAAGGGTTCCTTCTCCCTGTTCAGTATACTGCAGGCCCACACCCTATTCGTTTCTCCTTCTCAATTTTTCAAGGTGAGGATCTTACTCCTCCCAAACTTCCCATCTACTTCTTCCACTTCCAGGATTTAATAAATCACTCCGATTTGGTGTTCCTTCCATTTCAGGGTTTCCAAGCTCTGGTCCTTTGCCTTTTCCTCGAAAACATTATCATTAATAAAATCGTTGTCTACGATTTTTGGACTTCTGAGTTCCTCCATCTTTTGTACGAAAGCCATATTTTGTTTCTACTCTTAGGATTACATCCCCTTTAAGGTGTCTCTACAATTGTTTACAAAAAGCCATATTCTTGTTTCTACCCTTAGACTAATTGGGATGCTGGTCCCTTCACATTGTAAAAATCTAGAGTTGGATTTATGCTAGATTTTACCTTGAAAATGAAAGTGCCGCAGAATCGGCCTTTTCCCACTACTTATATGGCTAAGGCAGTTGTTGTGGTGTTGTGGAAGCGAGTTCGCCTTTATTGTGTGTGATGGTTCATTTGAACCACGATCGGGTCAAATCAAAGACTAAAGACTTGTTGTTGAAATTTCAACTGAATTATAAATTTTTTATAAAGGTTTATAAATACCTTAAATTTAAACACGTGTATTAAATATCTGATTCAAAGGATTGAAAATGGAATTTTTATAAAAAAAATGTTATGCCGGATTTCTATTAAACTTTATCTTTCTTCAGTGCACTGGTCATAAGATTAAACAACATATAATTTATCTACAATAAAATTGGCTGTTATTTTTGTAGATTATTTAGTTAAACGTCATGTTTAATCACTAATTGTAATGCTAGATATCTTATAGCTTTAATATCATTGTATAAAAGTAATTGATAAGTTGAAAAAAGGGAAGATAGTCATTAAAAAAAGATAAGAATAGTTATACAACTGTAAAAATTTAAAGATAAATATCTTTTCATTAATGTCTGTTTTGATTATAATTGAAGTAAACAGTTATACATAATCTTTCTCAATGAAAATTGTAAATACGGGATAATCTTAGTTCCAGATAATTTATCTGATGTTGTAACACCTGAATATTCTGGCCAGAATAGGGCCCTATGCGCACATGTCCTTTGTTCCATTTGCCACTCTTTTTTCCAGTTGTTGTTCAAACTTTAACCACCAAAACCTGTCACTTCTTACTGATGTAAAACATTACCATGTGTGACAAATAACTGTAAATGAAGGGACAAATACTACCTTAATCATGTTTTGACTATACCGACACACCTTATGGTGACTTATATCACACACAAGCAAGTCAACTGTGCATCGAAAGTTACTATTGCAATACTGACAGATAATGGACTTTGGGTTTTTCATCTACAATTAGGGTTATGTGTTTGACGTAAAAAAATAACACCATGAATTAAAATTGATAAGTATGATATGTACAAATTCGAATAAGCAAGTAATCTATTCAGATTTATCTCAATTTGAAAACTGTTTTCTTTAACACTTTTCCCATTGGATAAACAGGGTTTTTTTTTTTTTTTTTTTTTTACAAATTTCCTCTTTCTAGATTTTTTTCCAGTCAACAATGCAACATATTTGGACAGGTTTTACAGCCAACAATAAATTATCGTTTATTTTTATATTCTCACGTCATCGTTCTATGACGTCGGGTAGCTCATTCATAAAAAAGCATATGACGTCATGTTAGAATTAAGAAATAATTCATGGGGGCTTGAATATATCGTGATTTTACCACGGGTTGGCTCTTTATGACAAATATTTTTCACTGAGCGATAGCGAGGGGTAAAATATCGGCATAAAGGGACAACCCGTGGTAAAATCACGATATATTCAAGCCCCCATGAATTATTTCTTAATTCTAACATGACGTTCTTCATACGCTTTGAGTACACATCCGTGGTAAGATATGAATATATTGTTTGGGCTGTTCCGTTCGTAATCCCGCGTCATATGCTTTTTTATGAATGAGCTTCCCGACGTCATAAAGGGACAACCCGTGGTAAAATCACGATATATTCAAGCCCCCATGAATTATTTCGATTCTAATAGGACAAATACGGCAATTGTTTTGGATCGAAGCGCTCTAGATGAAGGCATTATTTGCCGTTCCCATAGATAAACGCACTATTAAATTAAAGTAAAAGACCGGAACAAACTGAATAAATGACATGCTTAAACTATTTACAATAACATATTTAGATAGATTTGGATGAATCTAAATGATAATTGTACTTATATGTCTTACATTTTAGCATCGTTTGTTTACGTTTCCTTGTTGTGCTTATTTTCGGTTTCACAAGCGTGTATTTTCCCGTAAAATGCTTATATTCTTACGTCAGCGTTCTATGACGTCGGATAGCCCATTTTTAAAAAAGCATATTACGCGGGAGTACGATAGGAACAGCCCAAACAATATATTCATATTTTACCGCGGGTGTGTACTCAAAGCGTTTGAAGAACGTCATGTTAGAACTAAGAATATTTTCAATATGTAATTGAATTCTGAAGACATAAGTTAAAACAGTATTTCACCAGATTTCGTTAGTTTCAGTCCCTATATCAACGGACTATTGCAAAAGAAAGTTTACTACTATATTAATTTTTCAAGAACTCACCTCATTTTGGTCACGTAGCCATTGAATAATTTCTTTCAATGCATCAGTGTACTCAACTGGTGATAATGTCCTTGCCCTCAGTAGCCTTATTTGGTCAAGTATTTCTTTTGAATAATTCTCACCGATGCACAAAGCCAAATGTTCACTTGCATCCGAAACTTCGCACCACGAGTCACGAAATATTGTCCCATCAATGTCATTTTTGTGAGAATAATGGGCAGTTTCATTTCTTATTTCTCGTATGACTGTTACAGATTTTTCTTGTTGCTGATCCAACGTACAACAATTTTTTAAAAGAGTTCCAATCAATGTCAGATCAATATCATCCAGCTGAATATTCGGATTAGCTTTAAACGTACAATGGCAATGTGTAGCACCGTTTGGACAGTTTTGTCCATTGTCAATAAAAAGCTTTTCAAACTGCTTTTTATAAATTATATTTTTCCTATTGATATTGACACATGTACAACAACCATTTTTTTTAAAACCCTGTAGATGGTAGATCAAGGTTTTATTTTTCTCGAGGAATGTCTTAAAGTTGTCAGGTTGATATTTACTTTCAATGAATTTTCTAACAACATTCACCGCAACTTCAGTAATTAGGAGGAAGCGCCGAAGAAAATTCGGAAACATATTTAATCTGAAAATAATAATATGAAGAAAATGTTAAGCTCAAACACAACTAAAAGGTGTAAAAACAAATTTAATTTAAAAAACGAGCTTATAATTTTATATGCCAAAGGCTCATTTTGTCTATAAAATACTCCAGTGGGTAGTAAGCACTGAGTTTCGATAATTAAACATCTTTTTGAGAGTAAAGTAGAAGACGTAATCAAATACTAGTAAAATAATGAATTAGTGTGAAACCTCGTCATGTCAAACTGATAGACCATTTAGACTGTTTGCTGTCGGTCAAATTTATCTCTTATTAACCTACTTGAATCATGGTTCCAAAAAATTAGAAAGAGCCGTACGTTTTGATAGTGAAATAGATACATGGATGAAAATGTGTCATAACAAAGGATATAGGTTTCTTAATGTTATTTCTTATGATTTATATGTATATATGGTAAAATAAAATGATTTATTACAGAACATTTGTGAGGTTTGCTCTTACTAAGCTACTTCTGTCTAGCATGGCCATAGAATGACATTATATTCAATAATTTCTCTTGCACCCTGTTAACTATTAAATTCTAGTAAATCAATTTTGAAACATTTTGGCCTGAATAGCTCTCAAAAGACTGAAAAATAAATTATTAAGTTTTGTTCAGTATTTCAGTTAAATTTCACAATATCCAGGGCAAATAAATTAGTACTGTTTTGACATTTCTCTTGCAGTCAGTAAAGATCTGTTTAGCCTATATTCAGCCTGTCGAGAATCTGTTATTTGCCTACACAAAGCAATAACATACTAAGTTGTCTGAAAAGAGAATGAACAGTTCTTGATTGACTATAAATAAATGCATGAACAGTACTGCATTAAAAAGTAAAATCACAAAAATACTAAACTCCGAGGAAAATTCAAAACGGAAAGTCCCTAATCAAATGGCAAAATCAAAAGCTCAAACAATTTCAAACGAATAGATAACAACTGTCATTTTCCTGACTTGGTAAATGCAGTTTCTTATGTAGAAAATGGTGGATTGAACCTGGTTTTATAGCTAGCTACACCTCTCACTTGTATGACAGTCGCATCAAATTCCATTATATTGACAACGATGCGTGAACAAAACAAACAGACATAATAGGTAAAAATGTCAAAAATAGGGGTACAGCAGTCACCATTGTGTTATAATCTTAATCACTATAAAAACAAACAAATATGTAACAAAGAAGCACAAAAAGGCATATATCAAATTTAACAACCTCATTTATCATGTTCATTGCTTTTTTATTATACGATTTATCTATGTTAAATCCATTAATTAACATTAACAGCAAGACACCATCGTTGTAAGTTTCAAACGTTTTGAATGATGTTAAGATCAAAACTTATTTATAAGTGGAACCGCCTTGTTAATACATACGATGAGTGATATTGGTTAAAATACAAAACTACCTGTATGAATAAGTGAGTTCTTTTGAGCGTAAGACAACACAGAACACTATATAAATAACATATGGCTGAGAGGGCGATAGAGCAGATTGTTACCCCGAGAAAGCATTGTTAACCGCGGCGAAGCTTGAAACGGATAATGTTTATATATAAAGGTTTTCAAAGATCTAATAAGTTTTAAAATATCGTCTTCACTTACGACGTACATAAACATTACCGTGAAAACCAGGATGTGATAATCCGTTTGCGATATTTCTCCAATCCAATCTAAGTTTCAATGAAAAAAACTTATGAAGCAATTTATTGTATGGTATATCCCTGTTGAGATAATCTTCCAGTTATACACAAGTTACAAAGTAAAATATACATACCTGACAAATGATAAAAAAAGCCGCCTAAGAAATCTAATAAGAAACGCCAAACCGTCCCTTTTGTTAATTAAGAGTTGCACGTGTGCGTTGAAAGGACAATTATCACTGTTCATTTTAGAAAATTCTTTATTTCAATTTTTTTCCAGGACCACTCACAGGATTAACAAAATAAAAAATGTAATATTTTAAACAAATCTACCATGAATTAGTATGTAGTTCCAAGTTTTCAGAACAAACAAGTTTTATAATTGTAAGTGAGTTTTTTCTTATTAGACCATTATATTTGCCGGCTGACACAATTTAAAACGCAATTTCATTTTAATTCATTCATCACTTTGCAATTTTAAAATACATCGCAAGATCAACACTTAAGTCAGAGATAATCAATACGTCCAGGTTGACATTATAGAACGTTAACACATTTAACCACAACACGCTAGCTTTTAGTAACATAAAATTTATATAATCTTATATATTGGATCTGCTTAACAGGGACTTCCCTTCGGCCTTTATTATACAAAACATAATCACCACATTATTGTGATATATTCTTAAAGGGATAACCCCCGCAAACAAAGGTAACCAAACCAAAACACAAACAAAACCAAACAAAATCAAGAAACATCAGGCTGACCAAAAATGAAAACAATACGAGTCCTCAACTTTATTTAGTACGAGAGGGAGGAAGCTGCACAAAATGCATAACTTTTAAAATTGTGCAACAGAGATTAAAAATTTTGACATAATTTTCCATGGCTTTTTCGACCAATAAGGAAATATTTATGACAAACATGACAACTCGTTCGTTATGCCCGTGTGTGTAGTGATGTCATAGATTTTAACGAACGTAATCAATGCATCAATGGTAAATCAATAAGTCAGGGATTTCGTTACCATATATTACGTAAAACTTTTACTAAATTCTTTCATAGATACAAAAATTTGATTAGTAAATTTGGCTGTACCTGTAGAAAACTGATTAAAAACGGTATTTCACATCCTAAATTTTACGGCACTATTGTACTTAAAGCGCGGAAATCACTATGTGATCCGTGTAAACTCATCGGACCTTTAAACAAACTTATTAGTAAAGGTTATCTTACCAATGTTGTAATAAGATCTTTGAATATAGTTTACATTGGCGCTAATATCTATTTTGTCACCAGCAAATTAAAACATAACAAAATTTGTATTCTTTTCAAACGGGATGTATATAGACACACCCACGTTCATTCTGATCTATAAAGAGGTTAACTCCTAACTACCCTACTGCCTGTCGATACATTTATTTTTGGCATTGCACAAGTCATGTCTTCTTTGACTGTCAATGCCGTTAAAATACTAAATCCCTGGGATGTGTTTTAGTTGATTTTAGTCTCTGATGCATGATTTTTTATTATTAATTGTTTTTGGCTTTTAACTAGCTGTCAGTTACTGCGAGTACTCTCAAATCGTACTTTCTTGTTTATTTGACCTTTCTTTCAAATATTGATGTCTATTTCCAAAATATACCGATGGTTTTTAATTGTTAACAAAATGTCATCAAGAATACCAGGCTATAATCTTTTTACCTTAAGTCTCATTAGTGACACAGTTGGCAGACCAAATCAAATACAAAGTTGGAGAGGATTTCAAAATTAGCTTTATTATCATAATATAGACTTTTGCTACCTAATCTATATGCACAAAGGCCTTTAAAAGTAAAAAAACACATTCATATGGGGAAGATTTAAACTATGTAAAAGTATAAGGTAAAAGTTCATAAAATATGAGATGTAAAATAATAAAAAAAAAAACACTTTTAATTCCAACTCTTTAAAAGCATTATGTGCAGTTTTAAAGGTCTTATCACTCCAAGTCTAATTTATGAAAGCGTTGCCGCTTATTTAGAATATTTCAATTTGGTGCATGTATCATTTATCAAGAAAGAGGATGTATAGTATACTGTATAATTAAATCATGGATAATAATTTAATTAAGAATTTTATTGATTCAAATTTGCTTTAATGTAGCTTTACTTCGTTTCTTGTGTTGATTTTTATCGGTATCATAAATTATGTAATTCCTTTATTACATTAAGACCACAATTTGGAGTCCACCACCACAAACCGCGTTTGATCCTTCGCCATCAACACATTGAGTTTGTCGTTTAAAATTTAAAGTTTAAAATATGTACCTTAAAATCAAAAGACTGGCATGCCAGTAACTGCTAATAGTCCTTTGTTCATTTATGTATCATTGTCATTTTGCTTAGTTTCTTTTGTTACCTATTCTGACATCGTACTCGGACTTTACTGTGCGTATTGCCATGTGTTTCTTTTTTTTACATTGACTAGAGGTATAAGGGGAGGGTTGAGATCTCACAAAACATGTTTAACCCCGCCGCATTTTTGCGCTTGTCAAAAGTCAGGAGCCTTTGGCCTTTGTTAGTCTTGTATGTTTTTCAATTTTAGTTCATTTATATGTTTTGGAGTTTAGTGTGACGTCCATTTTCACTGAACTAGCACACAATTTTATTTAGGGGCCAGCTGAGGACCACCTCCGGGTGCGGGATTTTCTCGCTGCATTGAAGACCCATTGGTGGCCTTCGGCTGTTGTCTGCTCTTTGGTCGGGTTGTTGTCTCTTTGACATATTCCCCATTTCCTTTCTCAATTTTATTAAGGTAGGCTATATTTTATGATTACAACGAAATCCAGATTATATGGCGGATTAAATCCAAGGATAAGGACATAATGGCCATAAAGTTACGAGACGGTGTGATATGCCGATGGCAATATGATTTCTACAGATGCAAACAAAATATCAAAAACTAGTTAATTCTAAATTTACTTTGTGGTACCGAAATACTAACGATTTTAAGAAAAGTGCAAAGAGAACATCTCCATCGTGAATATAGAATATTTATTATAGATAAGACACAATATTCTTTTTGTCGTAAATTTTAAGAGTCATTCGTGTGACAAATCCAGATAAAGACAATTACATATATGTTATTTTCTGTAAAAAAGGCATCAAATATGTCGACAAAATTCAGATCACAACGCAATAACTTTGTTCTAATATTTCTGTTAAATCATTTATTCATTTACCTTAACAATTCTAAAAAACATCGTTAAATATACATTTAACTCACTTAGGTAAAATTGTAATCAATACGTCGCGGTTGACATGTATATTAATTATTGCAATGGTAACAGATATCATTTTTT